ATAAGATTTTATCAAGGTGTTACTCTCCTTCCACAAACGTAATTGTAGCTCTTCTCCCCCCACCACCACCTCCAACACTCCCCCCACACCACCTCCAACACTCCCACACCACCACCAACACCACCGTACTCTACGGGAACTCCTCCACCTCGTTCAGACTACTGGACGCAAGAGCCCAATCAGGTAAGGAAAAAAGTTGTAATTTAATGATAATATATTCACCGTTAACTGCGGTATATCTATATCTACAAAAGACAATGTCTGTCTGTCTGTATCTCTGCCTGTATCTCTGTCTGTATCTCTGTCTGTATCTCTGTGTGTACGTGAGTGGAGGCCAGATCCTTGTGGCTAACCTTGCCCAATTTTTCAAGAAGAACCCTGGTGGGTTATTGGAGTATTATATGCCAGTCTGGGTCAGATCCAGTGCCACACTAAGAAATACTGGCACTTATAGAAACCCCCTGCGATTTTCAGGTCTGTGTTTTCCCATTGAGTTTTGATGCTTCCATTAGCATTACTTTTAGGATTACAATATTCCATTGTGACAGAGAGAGAGAGAGAGAGAGAGAGAGAGAGAGAGAGAGAGAGAGAGAGAGAGAGAGAGAGATGGGTGAGTGAGGAGGAGCGTAGGGATGCTGGAGCAGAGGGAAGGAAAAGGGGAATCAGAGAGGGAGGAGGGGAATGAGAGGAGGGGATAGGAGATCGAGGGAGGAGAGGGGAAGGTGGAGAGAGGGAAGGAGAGGGGGGAGAGGGGGAGATGGGGGAAATGTGACGAGAGAAAGGCGAATACTGGAAGAGGGGGAAGAAAAAGGGATAGTGGGAGAGAGGAGAGAGACCCGGGCACCCACCGGGTACCCTACCTAGTTAACTATAAAATCTATACCACCATGTCGAATTTAGAACCATGGCGCCGCTGTATCGCCACAAAATTCCTGTAATAAACACAGGAAACACGCAACACCGGTTTCAAAATACAACAAATTATATCATGTGAACAACACGTTGGCCTCACCCAGCCACAGTGTGAACTACAGGTGTCGCAACACTCCGGAACACATCACAGCAACACATTACAAAAACGATAATCACCCACGGTAAATAGGAGGGTTTGCCCCGAGACTCTTAAGTGCTCAATAAGTTCATCAAGAGGATGCTCTGAATTGTTCACACCGTTCTCACGGGGTGGGGGTGTGGTGGGGGTGTGGTGGGTGGGGAGGAGGACAAAGAACAGGTGGGGGGGGGGGGAAGTTAAGATGCAGCTTCGTGACCCAGTGAGAGGAAGTGGGACTCTGGAACACTAGTACTACCGGCACTGGAGATCATTCCTTCCCTTCTCACTCAGCTAACAAAGGAATTTGCATAAAAACAACAGCTGACGTTTGTACTCACGTAGTTGTGCTTGCGTGGGTTGAGCTTTGGCTCTTTGGTCCCGCCTCTTAATTGTCAGTCAACTGGTGTACAGATTCCTGAGCCTACTGGGCTCTATCATATCTACACTTGAAACTGTGTATGGAGTCAGCCTCCACCACATCACTTCCTAATGCATTCCACTTGTTAACTACGCTGGCACTGAAAAAGTTCTTTCTAATGTCTCTGTGGCTCATTTGGGTACTCAGTTTCCACCTGTGTCCCCTTGTTCGTGTCCCACCCGTGCTGAAGAGTTTGTCTTTGTCCACCCTGTCAATTCCCCTGAGAATTTTGTAGGTGGTTATCATGTCTCCTCTTACTCTTCTGTTTTCCAGGGACGTGAGGTTCAGCTCCTTCAGCCTTTCCTCGTAGCTCATACCTCTCATTTCCGGGACAAGTCTGGTGGCATACCGCTGAATCTTCTCTAACTTTCTTGTGTTTAACTAGATATGGACTCCAGGCAGGAGCTGCATATTCCAGGATTGGTCTGACATAAGTGGTATACAGGGTCCTTAACGATTCCTTACACAAGTTTCTAAAGGCAGTTCTAATGTTGGCCAAACTAGCATATGCCGCTGATGATATCCAATTGATGTGGGCCTCTGGGGACAGGTTCGGTGTGATATCAACCCCCAGATCTTTTTCTCTATTTGACTCTTGCAGGATTTCACCTCCCAGATGGTACCTTGTGTTCAGCCTTCTGCTCCCTTCGCCTAATTTCATTACTTTACACTTTCCTGAGTTGAACTTTAGCAGCCATTTTCTAGACCATTCCTCCAGTTTATCCAGGTCATCCCGTAGTCTCTATCTTCATCTGTCTTGATTCTTCTAATAATTTTTGCATCATCAGCAAACATTGAGAGGAATGAGTCTATACCCTCTGGAAGATCGTTTACATATATTAGAAACAGGATGGGTCCAAGTACAGAGCCCCTGTGGGACTCCGCTGGTGACATCTCGCCACTGTGTGTGTGTACTCACCTAGTTGTACTCACCTAGTTGTTTTTGCGGGGGTTGAGCTTTGGCTCTTTGGTCCCGCCTCTCAACCGTCAATCAACAGGTGTACAGATTCCTGAATGTGTGTGTGTGTGTGTGTGTGTGTGTGTGTGTGTGTGTGTGTGTGTGTGTGTGTGTGTGTGTGTGTGTGTGTGTGTGTATGTGTACTCACCTAGTTGTACTCACCTAGTTGTGTTTGCGGGGGTTGAGCTCTGGCTCTTTGGTCCCGCCTCTCAACGGTCAGGGTGTGTGTGTGTGTGTGTGTGTGTGTGTGTGTGTGTGTGTGTGTATGTGTATGTGTGTGTGTGTGTGTGTGTGTGTGTGTGTGTGTGTGTGTGTGTGTGTGTGTGTGTGTGTGTGTGTGTGTGTGTGTGTGTGTGTGTGTGTGTGTGTGTGTGTGTAATCTTAATCTCACAATGAAAATAACATCGCAGCCTCCTAAAATGAAGGTATTTACTTTAACGAAGAGGTCGTTAAGTACGAGTATGTCGTGATGGACCACCAGAAAGTACAGACTTTTGTATTACTGAACTTGGACGAACACCCGAGAAATTTCATACTTACGTTGCTAATAAGACCTAACCTAACCTAACCTAACCACCTTAAGCCTAATACTCGCTAAAGTCTAATACAGTACTTGTGTGTACTATACTAGGAATATTTAGGTATAGTTTTATCTTTATTCAATCCGGACGCAATAAAAAAAGTACGAAAAGTGTCTTACTGGAGTTCCATATCGTGAGGTTATCTTGAGATGATTTCGGGGCTTAGCGTCCCCGCGGCCCGGTCCTCGACCAGGCCTCCTTTTCGTTCATGACTACATCCTGGTACTTTCGACCACATAGCTACAAAAAGTGCCATCATTCAGGATGGGTTGGACAGTTAACAACAAAGCGATGTCATTTACCTAGAAAAACAGAGTTTTATTAAATTTCTTCCTTAAACAATTCAGCAAAAATGTATTAGTTAAAAACGGAATAGATTAGTTTAAACAACAAAACGAACAAACAAAGTTGTAAATACAAGTGCAAAAAAAATTGCAATGTGTAAATCTGCAACACACAACTTCTCTGGATAGACGGTCGCGATAGACTGGATAGACGATAGAGCAGAGACGGTCGCCACCACACACAGGTTAGTGTGTGGCCACTAACCTGTGCTAGCCACACACACTAACCTGTGCTAGCCACACACACTAACCTGTGCTAGCCACACACACTAACCTGTGCTAGCCACACACACTAACCTGTGCTAGCCACACACACTAACCTGTGCTAGCCACACACACTAACCTGTGCTAGCCACACACACTAACCTGTGCTAGCCCCACACACTAACCTGTGCTAGCCACACACTCTAACCTGTGCTAGCCACACACACTAACCTGTGCTAGCCCCACACACTAACCTGTGCTAGCCACACACACTAACCTGTGCTAGCCACACACACTAACCTGTGCTAGCCACACACACTAACCTGTGCTAGCCACACACACTAACCTGTGCTAGCCACACACACTAACCTGTGCTAGCCACACACACTAACCTGTGCTAGCCACACACACTAACCTGTGCTAGCCACACACACTAACCTGTGCTAGCCACACACACTAACCTGTGCTAGCCACACACACTAACCTGTGCTAGCCACACACACTAACCTGTGCTAGCCACACACACTAACCTGTGCTAGCCACACACACTAACCTGTGCTAGCCACACACACTAACCTGTGCTAGCCACACACACTAACCTGTGCTAGCCACACACACTAACCTGTGCTAGCCACACACTAACCTGTGCTAGCCACACACTAACCTGTGCTAGCCACACACACTAACCTGTGCTAGCCACACACACTAACCTGTGCTAGCCACACACACTAACCTGTGCTAGCCACACACACTAACCTGTGTGTGGCTAGAGGCCTATAACCCTCAGGAGGGTTATTAAGGGCGCCGCAATAGCTCACTGACCAGCCAGTAATTATACCTTCGTCCCGAACATAAGGTAGACTCCCTGAGTATACTAGCCGCCGAGAAGTTAAGTATACTTCTCAGAGCGGCTTTCACACACACACACACACACACACACACACACACACACACACACACACACACACACACACACACACACACACATAATCAGACGACAAAGACTTAACATTTCCGCAAGGAACACTAACAAACACCTCCACCTGGTGTCCGTTGAACAAACTTATCATCATCCAAGAATTAAATGTTCTTGCAGCGGCGGCCACTATATCGGGGGTTCGCGGCCACAACGGAACTATGGACTCTGAACTCCCAATTCCTTAGCATTTGTTTTCAAATAACACTAGAAACCCGGTAGGGAAAATTACTCATATATTTCCTCCCCTACCACCTCGAATCAGGATGAGGGTTGAATACCCTTTCAACACCGATGGAGTGAGGCGTTCTGTGAAGTGTTACAGGACCTGGTATATGGCGCTGGAGGCCAGCGGTGGATATTGGCGCGAAAAAGTGTCTTCGCGAGAAATACTCGACTCAGCAACTGGCGGGACTCGTAGTAGCGGCGCGAGAAGTCGATCCAGTCAGTCTGTAGCTGGCTGTGGTGAGGGGAGGGTGGCTGCTGCCTTGCCGTCCTGGACCACTATTTTTTTTCCTCGTTTACCAGTCAAATCTGACTTATTGCTGGATTTGTTTTTGTAAATAAGATGAACTGATATCTCCGACGCGGAACACGCGGAACGTTCGGTGTCTAAGAGGAAAAATTCCCAACGAAAGGTGTCACGGAAAAAAAAAAGTTTATTAGTGAGAAAATATCAGGATTTTATGTTTTTTGAAAGTATCAAGTGTTTCAGCTGAAGAGCTGCTGGTACAGGAGGTACAGGTCAATAACTGTAGCTTTTGTTAGGAGCCCGTGGAAGACGGCCCGCTCCTTCCCCATTACCTCCTTCCTCACCTGCCAATTACAGGTAAGTCCTGCCCTCTACGGGGTGACCGCTAAGGGCCCCTTATGTGGCCGCCTCCGTCTGTTTTGAGGTAATTAACGACAGCGGCTGTTGTGTTATTGGGAAGTAGGTGTGTTAAACTGTCTTGTGAGAACAGGTTAAACTGTCTTGTGAGAACAGGTTAAACTGTCTTGTGAGAACAGGTTAAACTGTCTTGTGAGAACAGGTTAAACTGTCTTGTGAGAACAGGTTAAACTGTCTTGTGAGAACAGGTTAAACTGTCTTGTGAGAACAGGTTAAACTGTCTTGTGAGAACAGGTTAAACTGTCTTGTGAGAACAGGTTAAACTGTCTTGTGAGAACAGGTTAAACTGTCTTGTGAGAACAGGTTAAACTGTCATGAAGGGAACAGGTTAAACTGTCATGAAGGGAACAGGTTAAACTGTCATGAAGGGAACAGGTTAAACTGTCATGAAGGGAACAGGTTAAACTGTCATGAAGGGAACAGGTTAAACTGTCATGAAGGGAACAGGTTAAACTGTCATGAAGGGAACAGGTTAAACTGTCATGAAGGGAACAGGTTAAACTGTCATGAAGGGAACAGGTTAAACTGTCATGAAGGGAACAGGTTAAACTGTCATGAAGGGAACAGGTTAAACTGTCATGAAGGGAACAGGTTAAACTGTCATGAAGGGAACAGGTTAAACTGTCATGAAGGGAACAGGTTAAACTGTCATGAAGGGAACAGGTTAAACTGTCATGAAGGGAACAGGTTAAACTGTCATGAAGGGAACAGGTTAAACTGTCATGAAGGGAACAGGTTAAACTGTCATGAAGGGAACAGGTTAAACTGTCATGAAGGGAACAGGTTAAACTGTCATGGGTGAACAGGTTAAACTGTTATGGGGTGATCAGATTGAACTGTAATGGGGTATAGGTGTTCAACATCATGGAGAACAGATGTTCAACATCATGGAGAACAGATGTTCAACATCATGAAGAACAGATGTTCAACATCATGGAGAACAGATGTTCATCATCATTATGGGGAACAGGTGTTCAACTTCATCGTAGGCAACACGTGTTCAACATCATGGGGGAACAAGCGTCCAACATCATCATGGGGAAACAGGTGTTCATATTAAAAAAAATAATGCATCATACTACCAACCCGTTTTCTGTGTAAACTCTTTACATTTTCTAATTCTACTTTATTATCCTGTACTTGAAAAGAAATGTTGACATTTGTATTAAATTATTTATAGCTCAGCATTGTCAACATATTTATAAGTTCTGTCTATTGTGTCTTCGAGTCAACGCTTGCTAAATATATAACGTTATATTTTTAAATATAACATAGAGAATATGTGGTAGAAATACCCTAAGCTACCTTATGCCTCAGGGATACTATTTTATCTCAATAAACTTGAATGAGAGAGAGAAAACGGGCTGTAACCGTGACTAAGGTGATGACAGGTCCCTGTCATCAGTTTGGATGCTGCGAACTGGTAGATGTTCTCTGGGGACATCCAAATGATGCTGAGGAACTGGTAGATATTATCTTGATACCCCTATAAGATGCTTCGAGCTAGATGATTATATTATATATATATATATATATATATATATATATATATATATATATATATATATATATATATATATATATATATATATACATACACATATACACACACACACCCGAGGAGACGCTGTTCGATGTTGGCAGCTAGTAAATATAATCGGTTTATCCGGCTGATTGATCGTGAGACATGCCCAGTTTATCCGGCCGCCACAGCCACCGTGCACGGACCGTTAAATAACCAGCACTAAGCTGAACCGGACATAGAACACAATTCATTCACAATTCGAGAAACGAACCCCAATAAGCCTCTATTAAGAATCCAACAAAGAGGATAATGACTTTGTTTACAATTCCGGGACTTTCCTTAATGTAACTGGATTTTTTAACATTAACTCGATTAAAATAAGAAGTAACGCAAGGGACACACACACACACATTAAGATATATTAGAAAGAACTTTTTTAGTGTCAGAGTGGTTGACAAATGGAATGCATTAGGAAGCAATGTGGTGGAGGCTGACTCCATACACAGTTTCAAGTGTAGATATGATAGAGCCCAATAGGCTCAGGAACCTGTACACCTGTTGATTGACGGTTGAGAGGCGGGACCAAAGAGCCAGAGCTCAACCCCCGCAAACACAACTAGGTGAGTACAACTAGGTGAGTACACACACACATCTAGGAGGTATATACTACTTATACCGGTTTTATCGGACTGATTACAGGACTATACAGCATCCTTGCAGGCGTGGCAGTAGGGTATTGTGGTGGCCTTGACGACCCTCACTCGACTGGGTACTGGTGGACCAAGAGCACGGCAATAAGAGTTGTTGTTATAGATTCAGCTACTCGGAACAAGTTCCAAGTAGCACGGGCTATGGCGAGCCCGTAACAATAAGAGGCTGTGTTCGTTCTCTCTCGGGGTCACGAAGTGGGTTATTATGCCAGGATATGTACCGTGGCGCCATGAGGCAGCCAGCGGCGGAAACAGGAAGCCCGCGGGGGGAGAGGAAAAATTAGAGCCCAAGTGAGGCGAAAACACTAATAAGAATAAGCGATTTTCTCGTGAGTGGGGGTCGCTATCCCCCTTTCCCCCTCCCCCAGCACTTGAGGGGGTCGCTATCCCCCCTCCTCCAGCACTTGAAGGGGTCGCTATCTTCCCCCCTCCCCCAGCATTTGAGGGGGTCGCTATCTTCCCCCTCTCCCCCAGCATTTGAGGGGGTCGCTGTCTTCCCCTCCCCCAGCACTTGAGGGGGTCGCTATCCCTTCTCCCCCAGCACTTGAGGGGGTTGCTATCTTCCCCCCCTCCCCCAGCATTTGAGGGGGTCGCTATCCCCCCTCCCCCAGCACTTGAGGGGGTCGCTATCCTCCCCCCCTCCTTCAGCATTTGAGGGGGTCGCTATCCTCCCCCCCTCCCCCACCACTTGAGGGGGTTGCTGCCCCCTCTTCCCCCACCACTTGAGGGGGTTGCTGCCCCCTCCTCCCCCACCACTTGAGGGGGTTGCTGCCCCCTCCTTCCCCCCACTACTTGAGGGGGTTGCTGCCCCCTCCTCCCCCACCACTTGAGGGGGTTGCTGCCCCCCTCCTCCCCCACCACTTGAGGGGGCGAGGGGGATTCGAGCAAGACAAAGTAGTATTCTCTCCCACATACATCACCAGTGTGTATTTTTCAGACTGTTTAATATGTTTTGTTTTAGTGTTCTTCTCGGTCGTAATTTCTATGTTCTTACCTTCGTCAATTTTCAATTATATTTCTTGATTTTGAGGTAATAATCGGAAAAGCAAGAGTCATGTTATTTTTTTTAGAACACAAATTACTTTTCTCGGGTCTTTGAACGTGACTGTTAGGAAATTAGGATTTTTTTTTAACGTGCGCAGTGTGGGGGGGGGGGGGGGGGTCGTGCGAGCGCAGTGTGGGGGGGGGGTCGTGCGAGCGCAGTGAGGGGGGAGGGGATCGAGCGTGCGCAGGGGCTGGGTTTTGAGGATATTAGACAAGTTCGTCAAACAGCTGGTAGTGATGGTGTTTGTGGTGTTGGTGTGGGGATAACATGGTGGTGACGCCTGTGGTGGCGGCGGGGGTCAGCGGCGACACTGTAGGACACAAGGCGAGGACACATAGGACACAAGGCGAGGACACAGGACACAAGGCGAGGACATAGAACACAAGGCGAGGACACATAAGACACAGCTTGTGAGAAGGGCTTACACCCGATCCTCAGGGGTGTCCGCCCACTCCGCTACCACAGCGAGACTTGGGTGGGGGGGAAGAGTTGGGGGGGGGGGGGAATTAGGCATAATGGGGGGGGGGGAGGAGGAAGGGGGGGTGTGATGATGGGGGGAGACATGACGAAAAACTAAAGCACAACCAGTGATAACGAGTAATCATTACAGTGAAGACAAGTAAGGGGAATAGACGAGCATGGAAGCATAACTGAGCAATTATTATTATTTTTTTTGTCAAGGGTTAGGTCATTGCACTTATTAAAACACATTAAACTAAAACAAATATTTTAAACCAACAAACAAAAAAAATTGTTGCATAACAAAACGATCAATAGAGCATTACAAAAAAGGAATAATAACTACAAATAACGAAATATATATATATATATATATATATATATATATATATATATATATATATATATATATATATATATATATATATATATGAATGACTGCAGGAATAACAGAAAACAATTAATTTCGGCCATACAAGTGTTACCAGACCGTAACAGGATAAATCACGCCCGAGGCACGCCGGTCGTCGTGTCCCCAAGACATGATCAGGAAGGGCGTGATTTACAGGGTATCTGGCACTACTGCTCCTGTCAGTGCCAAGTGCATCATGTCTGTAAAGCCATGCTGGATGTCTGCATGTCTGCGGGGGGGGGGGGACGAGGAGAAGTATAACTGGTGATAAAGAAGGAACAGAAGGTAATGAGGGAAGAAGGGAATAAAAATATACTAGAAATATAAAAAGAATATAGTTACGAAGATAAGGATATAGTTACGAAGATAAGGAATAGACAAGTTACATAATGAAGTTTAACTGGGCGGTAAGTTGGGTGCAAAACCCGGACTGTGTAGGTAAGAGTTGGACAAAAACCTGTCAGATAAACGAATTAATTAAATATGCCCAGATCGTAAAGCGAGTGAGAGCGAGCAAGCGAGAAAGCGAGAGAGGAGAGGGAGAGAGAATATGTCGTTACCCAAGTATTTTCTACTAATTGCGACTAGTCCGCAAAGAATGTGATTACGTAGTCACCAAGTGTGAGTAGAGAGCAGCTCCGGAATCCCTGGCAGCACCCAGCAGCTCTAGACCCAGCACCCAGCAGCCCCCAGCACCCAGCAGCCCCCAGCACCCAGCAGCCCCCAGCACCCAGCAGCCCCCAGCACCCAACAGCCCCAGCACTCACTATCGCCTCAGCACGAAACATT